GAACGAGAATGGGTCGGAGGGCTGCGGCAGACCATCATCGCTGGAGCTCTCGGCGATGCTGGTGTCGTCTGCACGCTTGGCGGCCTTCTTGGGAGTGATGTACTTCCTGTCGTCGACATCCTCGGACGAGCTCTGCTTCGCAGCCCTCGCCTTGGGCTTCGAAGGCGCCTTGGGCTTCCGAGGCGCCTTGATGGACTTCTGGGGCTTCTCCTGGAGCGAGGCGTTCTTGTCCTCCCTGGGCACATGCTCTATGCCCTTGCTCTCCTCGCCGCCGCCGCCCTTGTCACCGGGCACCTGGCGCTCGGGCGTCTTCTCGCTCAAGCGCACGCGCTTGCTGGGGCTGTCAGCTGGCGCTTCCTGGCAGGCTGGCTCGCTGGAGCCATCAGCCTTCTTGTCCTCGCTGGGCTGCATAGCGTCGCTGGGCAGCGCGGCGGCGGCGGGCCTCTTGCACACGGGCCGACCTCCCGTCTCCGAAGTCTCCGAAGGTTTCACATCAGGCGGATGGGCGCACATCCACTCGCACTTCCGCTGCTTCACGGCCTGAGCGTCGATGACCCCGCTGCAGTACAGGTTCACTAACTCTGCCATGTATGCTTCGGCCTCCACCTTCAACTGGTCCGAATAGTTCGTGATCACCATTTGCCCGCAAGCACCAGAGCCTTTGTGGTATATCTGCAGCAACGTCTGCCTGCGCTCGTACATCAGCTTGAGCTGCACGGGCTGCTGGTCCTTCTTGTGCGGCGCCTGGTACACGACGCCCCTCCTGACGCTCTTCAGCATGTTGAGCTTGAGCTCCTCCACCGTCAATGTTGGGATCTCCCACTTCACCGTTCCAAAGTACGCCACCGCGAGCTCGTTCGGCTGCGCGTCGGCATGTGGAAGCTCTGGGCCACGCGTGGCCATCTCCTTGATCTTCGTGTCCGCGATGAGCTCGCCGTGCTCATCTCTCTGGACCTTGTATCGGTAGGCGACCTCATGGCGGGGAAAAACCAGGAGGCCACATGGAAGAGGCAGGAGGAAGATCCGACATCGAGGGGGGAGGAGAGGATATGGAGGAGGACGAAGCAGCTGAGGAGCTGAAGGGGGGGAAAGTTAGGACGACGAGACGCGACCATATCCGATCAAGACGAGGACGGGTTGGCCAATCAAGGACACGTGTCTACCCTCCCCTCTAGCCCCGTTCTCCTTTATTCATTCTCCTGCTCATCTTTCCTCCCTCCACCCATCGTGCCTCCTTGCCAGCCGAGGCCCCGGGTCCTCGAGATGGGCCTCGAGAACAAGGCCGCCGCCGTGGGCGACCAGGCCCAGCAAAGCCCTGTGTATGGGAACGGTGTCCCGTCGGGACCCTCTGGGGCCCCCTTCCTATCTCTGACTGGGGCCTCTCGGATTTCGGGCGGGGGACTCGAGGCCATCACGGGGCCGATCACTCGCTCCCGTTTCCTTGGCTTCGCGTTCCGAAGTTTGTTCTGCGGAGCTCGTGAGGGAATTCTGCGGGGCCCCGTTGGGGCCTCCGAGGGCGCGAGTTCCGTGAATATTCCGACTCAGGAGGGCCAGCCTCTAGACAAGGCCCGACGTGGCCCCAGGAACGCTTTCAGAGATCACCGATGGGGGGTCAATGGGTGAGGCCCGCGGGACCTTCATCTCTCGATCGTACATGTAGTGGTAACCGTTCTCGTCGTCGGCCGCGGGCCTCTTCATGAAGACCGAGGGCTTGCGCAGAACCTTGAGGTCCTTCTTCTCCTCGTTCTCCTCCTCGCTCTCCTCCCCCTCGCCCTCCTCGTCCAGTTCATTGTCGTCGGCATCTTCGCCAGCGTCGTCAGCTCCCGATCCGTCATCCCCCTCGGGCTCGTTCAAGAAAGGCATGACCCATCTCGGAGCCCTTTTGCCCGCTCGTTTCTTGGCTTTGCTGACGCCTTTAGCAACATCGTGGATCATTGCACGCATCCTCAAAGACTGTTTTTTGGCCCACAGTTTCAACTCACCACCTGTCAAGTGCCAACCCTTGTTCTCCTCCTTCCCAGCCAGCTCCGTAAATGCCTTCGTCGACGCCGATTGATTGATCGATCCGTTGGGGAAGGCCTCGAGAAGGTCTTTCAAGAAGGGGGTCCACTCCTTAATCGTATCGTCGTCCTTCGCACCCTCATTGAGTGTCTCTCTGTATTTGAACTTCGCCGCCGAAGACACCTGGCACGATTTTGCAATCACCTCTGTTCCTCGCCTCCACCCCAACAGTAAGCGATTCCTCCTACTCCTCCTGCTCGTCACCTTCCTCACCTTCTCTTTTTCATTATGTAATCGGGTCCTCCGTCCTCGTCCTCATCCCCCCCGTGCCGAACTCTCTATCTCCTCCCTCCTCCATCGCCTCCCTATTTCTCCTCCGCCTCCATCCTGGGTTGGCATATTCGGTAACTCCGCTGACGTGCCGACTGATGATCTGGAACAGCCCGTCCGCGTCGTCACCCCGAACACGCGAGACTGCCGCCGCTGGGACCTCCGCCATATGGCGCGGCGATCCGCCAGCGGGATGGCACAAGCCTTGCTTGCGCCAGGGCCCTTGGTCCAAAACGGCCCTCCCATCAGGAGGGGGGGGGGTGAGGGGAGTCCAACCAACCAACCAACCAACCAACCAACCAACCAACCAACCAGCCAACCAACCAACCAACCAACCAAGCCAGCAGCCATGCCAATCACGAGTCAATCAGCCAACCAACCAGTCACGCAGACGACTGCCCTGCCAGCCTGCGAGCTGGGGCGGCCATCGAGCCCGACAGACGAAATTATAGCATAAACATGGCAACAACATGATCCACCCTCATACAGACAGCAACATAATTAAGCAAACAGGCTTTCTCTCAACCAACCAACCAACCAACAGCCCATCACTCACATCGATTCATATATATATATATATATATATATTCTTTTTTTTTTTTATTTGTTTGTGACATAATTCCTCGTCCTTCTTTTTTCCCCTGGCGGCGTTCATGCGCGAACGCATCCATGCGAAACGCGCTACCATAGATCATTTCCAATGGAAATGATCTATGGCATGAATATAAGGGTTAGACCCTTAAAATAAGGGTCCACGCGCGTGGTCCTTAAAATAAGGCCCAACGCACCACAGGGGAGCGCGTCTCGCGGCGCGGCCGTGTCCGCAAGCTCGAGCGTTTCAGACGTCCTGAGCACGCGCAGGCTCGCGACGCCGCGCTGCTTGGCGAGTGCGATTTTTCTGCAACAAGAAAGCCTCGAGGCCTGGGGGAGGTTGATGCCCGTGGGCTCGAGGCGATGGCCGAGTTCGAAGAAATCTCGGCTGTCGAACTGGACGAGGCTGCCTGGCACGCGTGCTGCGGGTGGCGTTTTAGCTTCGAGGAAAGCAGTCTGCCCCTCGCGGCCCGAGCCCTCTTGGTCGGGGCCGAGCGCACCCTCCTCACTTACCCTGGCCGCAACGAGGCAATTGTTGTTCTGCGATGATATCGCGCTCGTTCTTTGTTGTGACAAGTATCGTACTAGAAACTACAAGCTGCTGCTGATTCTCGGGAAGCTAGCGTCGCTTTGCCTCGCCAGGAACGTTCGTCTCACTGTGAGGTGGATGCCCCTGGGGCCAAATCCTGCGGACTGGCCGTCTCGTCTTTATTGTGTGCCGCCGTCCCAAAGGGCCGGAAAAAAAGGGCCCCGTCGGAGCCATGGCGAGGTCGTGTTTGACTCGCCCTTAGTAGTCTTGCCTGAGGGACCCATCTCTGGTGGTCCTTTTTCAAAACGTCACATGGAGGATGATGGGGGTCCCCGACGCCAGTTCTCAGATCGCACCCCATCGACGTCATCTGAATCTGTCTGAATTCATCCGCCCGAGCCCTCAAGGCCTCGGCGGCCCCTTGCTCCTGAAACTGGCCGAACTCTTGCCATTTTCGAGCTGCTAGGAAGGTGAGCAAGCGCTTCTGTGCGGGGCCCCTCGGTCTTAAAGCTGGCCGAGGTCCTTCCTGCGTGGAAGTGCTGCGACGATAAAAATAACGCCCCCGTCTCGTCATCCCTCCGTAGTCGTTTTGGCCCAAGCTCGGCCTGCAAGTTCTACGCCTCTTACCTTACGACTCTGCGACTTCCTGATCGGCCCTGGCGCGCCGCCTGAGGACCGTCGCGCCAACTGCCCGTCGCTCGGTGGCGCGGGCTCTGGCGGTCCTCGCGGCGGCCGCGACGGCCCTCCGCGCATCGGTCTCCGTGGCCGAGGCGGAGAGTGCGCTCCCGCTCAGGCTCGAGGGCGCCTCTGCGCTAGAGCTGACCCCCTCGGTTGTTGGCCTGGCGTCGGAGCTCCTCGGCATCTCACGGCGCGCCCGCCACTGGCGTCGCGGGTCGGCTGCGCGCCGCGCCGTTGACTTCCGCTTCGAGCGCGTCCGAGGCGAGGCCCGAGCGCGCCGATCGCATCTCGAGCGTCGGGGCGCAGGGCCGGCGATGGCGGCCAGGGCGGTATTGGGGGCTTTCGCGCAGCGGGACGCGGAGCTGTGGGGCCCGGGGGTGCTGGGGCGGCGCGCCGCGGGGGCGCCCTCCGAGAACTCGCGCGAGGTGCTGCCCGGGGGCTTCGTGGACAGGCGCGAGGTGCAGCGACGCCCTTGCGTCGGAAGCGTCGGCCTGGGCACCCGGCCGCTGAGGCGCTGCAGGTTGACCCGGGGCCCACTCGAGACGGGGGTGGCCCACGCGGCGAACTCGAGTCCGACCAGATCTGGGCGCTGGACCGCTCCTCTTGGAAGTCTCTGCACCTGCTGCTGGACGCGTCGAGGCCGAGGGCCGCTGGGGCGCCCCCATCGGCGGTTCAGCTGCCTCGAGCTCGTCCGAGCTCGCAGAGCCGCGGCGAGGAGTCGCAGCCTCGACAAAAGATCGTCACGCCAGAAGGGGGCCAGAGCTGTTGAGGAGGGATCGGCGTCGGCGCATCCGCCGCCCCCCCCACCACCACCACCACCACGGAGCAACTCAGCGAGGGCCGCCTCCGAAGTGATGTATTGGGCACGGTCGCCACTGGGCTGCTGGAGCGATGCCGGCCCTTCCAGGTAGCTCCTCGCCGAATCAGCCATCTCCGACGCCGGGCCAAAGGGCGCGCCGCCCACGTCCTTCGACTCGCAGACGTGGCGCCCGCTCATCCAATTAGGTGCATCACAGGCTTCTGCCACTGGCGTCGGGATTACCTCGCGCGCGCGACCCTTCCGCTGCCGCTTCCTGGGCCGCCCGACCCGACAGGATGGGTCTGCATGCAAATCGGGAATGGCCGCCCCCGCCCATGGGCCATGGGCCGCCTGGCGCGGCCCGTCCCCGACGCTCAAAGGGCCGCGGCTCGGGGACACAAATCCGCGGCCCGTCTCCTCCATCATGGCCCCTCCGCGGGCGCAGCGCGCCCTCCAGGCGCTGCCCCGCGCCCTTCTGCCTCGCCAGGCGGTGCGTCTGCAATCTCGCCGGGCCGATCTGCCTCTTCGGGGGCGCCCGCGGGGCCTGGCTGTTCGGGCTGGCTGCCGCGCCCCCGGGCAAGACAGGGCTGCCTCGAAGAATATCGATGGCCCGCTCCTTGCCCTGCTCCTCTGCCGAACGATCTGGAATCGAAGGGCGTCGGGTCGCAAGTCTTTGGGGGCCGCCCCATCGAACGGCAGCTCCCGAGCAACGCGGAGGACGCCCGCGGCCTCGAGCGCGCGCCTGGCCCACCCCCGGGGCCGCGCGAAGGCGGCCTCCGACGACCACCTTCTCAAGGCCAGCCGTTCGCCAGACCAGCTCGTCCACCCGCGATCGCAGATCTCGCAAGCGCGGTAGAGGAGGGCAGGCGAGCTGAAAAAAAGTGCCGTGCCAAGCAGCTGGCCCTGAGTCGCGTCAGCACGGTCGGCGCGCGCCAGCTCGGCCATTCCACGCATCTCATCTGCAGGTTGAAGAGCGCCTCAGGGACCGCCCAGCGAGACGCCAGCAGCGCGAGCCCAACTTCGATCTGACATGCCACGGCCACAGGGGGGCCTTCGCCTTGGGGCAGCGAGGCCTTCGAGAAATCGCCCTCGCCACAAGCGAAAACGATGCCCTCGAAAAGCGCGAAGTCCCCCCCGCGGCAGCTCAATCGGGCACGCGTGGCGGCGTCCGCTGCCGATGTCCGCCACCAAACAGCCCAGCGGCTCCGCGATCGGCGGCCACGTAGACACCAGCTTGCCCAACTCCCGCCCCGAGGCCCCCCTCGCCCAGTGAGCCTCGGGCCTGAACTTGTAGAGAGGCCGCGAAGGCAACGGCGGCTGCTCGACCGCGTCGTTCATCAACGCACGCTGCCCCGCGTCACCGCTACCTCTCTTGCACAGCTCCTCGTAAGACATGGGAATCGGGCACATCGCTGCGCCCGAAAGTCATCTCTCAGTCACCGCCGGCCCCTCTCCCTCCGAGCATCAGCATATCATGGCGCACCCTCTCGCCAGCCTCCGAACGATCTTCCCCGCCAATCGACCTAGCATCAATTCGCACTTGCACTCCGCGGCCGAGAACAGCTCTGCGCGGCGATCCACCGAGCCCGCCGATGAGCGCCGACGCCTGCTGCCCCGCGACCTCGCCGCCCGTGGTGGGCGCGGCCACTGGGCCGCCCAGGGCGGCCCCTGGCGGCCCAATGTCCGGGGGGGCGAGCCCGCGCCCCAGCCGCGCCAACGGCCCACGGCCATCGCCGCCAGGCATCTCGCCAGCAGCAGGCCGAGAATTGCCCGTCGCAATCTCATGGTGGAGAAGAAAAGCGAGGCTTGAGCGAGAACGCTAACGACATGGAGTGGGGCATCCTTCGGGGCCCCGACCACCGGAAAAACCCAGCACGTCATTTTCGTGCAGCGCAGACCCCTGGCCACAAGGCCACGTCACGCACCTTGACGATTTGAAATTACTTCAGCACGCTGCTGGTCGACAGCACCCACAAGGACAGAAACAATCTAGTTGCGCAAGCGAATATGGCGCGGGCACGCAATGGCAGTCCAGTGGCGGTTACTGACGGGGTCGCGGCCGACGAGTTCAAAGCGCGCGCAGCCTGCGCGCGAACACTCGCCGAAAACAGGCCTGCAACGGGGGCCGAGATTCAAAAATTCGGCGCCACCGCGCGAGAAGGCAATCCTGGTCCTCTTTCGCCAGGTCGTGCCTTACTGGTAGAAGTCAACTACAACTTCTCGGAGCTGGCACGTGGTGCCACAAAGCAGAGATGCGAGGATTCTCAATGGCCACGGGGCAACTGTAACGGATGCACAGGTGAATTGTCAAAAGCTGGCTTCCAACGTTCACTGCTGCTCGGTCCATGCCCGAAAGGCCGGGGGGGGCCAAGAGGGGAAGGGGGAGGGCCGAAGCGGAGGGCGTCTGGCAGCAGAGTGCGCGGTGCAAGGGGTAGCTAGCCAGACGCAGCACGCCGCCTTCGCGAGGATCCATCCTCGTGCCCTGCGAGCAAAAAGCAGGAACGAAATGATTCTCGGCGGCATGATGCAAGATGCCCAGGCCCAAAGCACTGCGCTGGCAACGGCGGATCTG